TTCGTCATAGCACTGTTTGTACCATTGTGACTTGTGCATTTGCTTTACAGTTTCCCTTTGAGCAGTAACTACCAGGGCCGCTCTCAGAGCTTCTACCGCACCTTCCCGTATAGCTGGCTTAGGATCGTGTATAGCGTTGAATATCAACTCAAAAAACGGCGTGACTTGTTGAAAAAAGTATGTTGGCACAGAGACAGCGAGTTCTCTTAGTACGAGTACGGCGGCATGTTTCCGACCCTCGTGTCTGTCCGTACCAAGCCACTCGAAGGCACGTTTTACCTCAAACTCGACATACTCGGCTGTATAAGTACCAGAAACTAGCGCCAACTTCCCGACAGTCTTCGCAGCTAATTGCATGACGCCTACGTCGTTGGAAGGTATCAAATTTCTAAGATAGTTGGCAAATCGTACCGTTCGTGTATTAAAATTACCTACGTCCGCTCCTATAAGGCAAACTATGGCTAATATACCACCTTTCTTCTCGTTAATATCGGAGGCGGATACCATTTCGAATATGTGATGATTGAATTCATCCATAAAAGCTGTGATCTCCTCCTGTGACGCCTCCCGCAGTTCCCGCTTGACGTACAGGCACAGATCGCGTGCCGCTTTGTTGCGGGCTTCCTCATTTCTCGACTTGAGCCGCTGGACAAACTGCTGCATCAGTGTACTTGACATTGTTTTAGCATTGGATGTATAAATCAGAGTGTAAAACATAACAGTCTAGATTCCATTCTATGATTTGACGCTCTAAAAAAAATAATTTTTATTATTTCGCATCACCTGTGTAACTACATGATACTGTACAATAAAATTGATACAATATTATATTACGTTTGCACCTACTTGACTATAATATACGGATTCCTTTTCGCGACGCAGCATTGTTGCTAGCAATACTTGCATTTATGCGATGAAAACAACGTCGAGTCCTCATTTATACAAATGCAATTCAATATATGCATATATTTTGTATATACATATATATACGTGATGACATATCTGATCTTCGGTATTCTCCGTCCACATTATCATGTTTCTTACTTGTCATCCATTAACGAACAATCAGTTTGCCGGATGGTTCGTTGCTTTGTTGCGTAACTCGTACGTCGTTCTTGTCACGTCCCGCGACAAAAATATTAAGAAAACAAATATCTCTTCCAAACGCGCGAAAATTATAACCTTACGAGCGAAGAATCGAAGATGCAGTCGATGCAGCCCGATAGAATTGGCGCTACTGTCGTAAAGTCGTAAAGGTAAGGCCCTGCGCACAATAGAGGACAAGAATTAGATATTAAGATTTCAACCTATCAGAAACCGTGTATTCCGATGTAATCAGTTTCTGATAAGTTAAAATCTTAATATCTAATTCCCGTTCCTCTATTGTGCTCAGGCCCTAAGAACTCATAGGCACGTCATACCCATTTGACGCGCCCGTCGCGTCACGCGTCACTAACGAAAGAACTAGATTGTAGTGACTTCTGTCACTGTCGCGTTCGGTTCGACGTCTTTAGGGCCTTTCCACACAAACTTGCATAGCCGCGTAAACATATGCATAAAGAAAATCACCCAAACGTAGTTTACGTTTGTCTTTACGACTGAAATGTGATTGGATAATTTTCTTTAGGCATATGATTATGCGGCTCTGCAAGTTTGTGTGGAATGGCCCTTAAGTCTATCGCACATGAAATGCATAATGCTGGATTCACCCTGCATTCGATATGCGTCGTACGACGCAAATCGGATGCAGGGTGAATCCAGGCATAACAGAGCATAAGCATAACATAAAGCTGCTGGACCAATGAGCACCTACCATAATGTCGCCATATTGATTTACACAAGATGCTCATTGGTTTAACGGCCCAATGTTATGCTTATACTCTGTTATGCATTTCATGTGTGAAGCCCTTAAGCTATTAGCTATAAAGTTATGGCTATGCCCTGCGCACAATAGAAGGAATAAGGAATTAGAAATAAAGATTAAATGATTTTAACCTATCAGAAATCGGATACATCGGAATACACGGTTTTTGATAGGTTGAAATCGTTTATTCTTTATTTCTAATTCCTAATTCCTTCTATTGTGCGCAGGGTCTTATTGTAGAAGGTCCATTATATAAAGACGCACGTAAAATGTGATTGGATAATTTTCGTTATGCATATATTTATGCGGCTATGCAACTTGTGTGGATATACCCTTAAAGCCGCAGCACAGACTCTTGCACATAACGCATAATGCATAGTGCATAAGGGAATCAACCAATCGAAATTCTTCTTTTCCATGCAATGGAAGGAAAAGGAAGATTCTGATTAGTTGATTCGCTTATGCACAATGCGTTATGCGTTATGCAAAAGTCTGTGCTGCGGCCTTTATGGCCAGGCTAGCATGAGAGCATTCTTCGTATTCCTGCTGCTTAAGATGTCTGCATAACATAAAAAGTTCGTCTTTACGGATTTTTCGACGTCTTGTGTCTTATCCTTTATGCGCTGGATGGCACCCAGTTGGACACGGCTCAATTGGACACGAGCCACTCACAGCGCTTGAGACTACAAAGCTCCTAAGCACCGGTCGCTGTGATTGGTGGTGTCCAATCGAGCCGTGGTCAATCGGGATCACCCCGGAAACAGAGAACTTCGATTGGTTTAAGGGGAAACTATTGGAGCCGTCTAGTATTATCACCGACGAGATATTAAGGGCAGCCGCAGACAAAATTTCTAAATATATTTATAAATAAATTTATAAATTGATCAATCACAGACCGGTATTCATAGTCGCTTCTTATTTTAAGACCGTCTTAAATAATATCCTAAATCGCTAATGCAGCCCTCTGATGGGTTCATGACATTTTAAGACTGTACTTAAGACGGTTGTAAATATAAGATCTGGCTATGAATACCGGTCTAAAATCGCCCGTACGCTACTGCCAGTACATCCATTTTTAGTTTGGGAACTACGTAACCACAGACATTTTTTTTGACACTATTGATAAAATCGTAACGTCGAAAGTAGAGTTCGTGCCTGTATTAAATCCTGTGTTCCAAAATTTACTGCCTGCAGTACTGAAAATCTGTAGTGCACGTGACGTAAACTATAGGTTTTCAGTACTGGCAGACATGTAAGTGTACGGGCAATTTCAACGGCAACAAAAAAAAGGCCGGCATGGTCTCTCTTAGATCTCTCTCTGCTGACAATTAAAATTAAAAAAACGTAAAAATTTAATAGTGTCTAATCATAAATATTACAAGTCCATGGGCATGCACATCATGCAATTAAAGTAAAAGCATTAAGTATTTTCATTATGTATTTAAATAGAATGGATGAAAAATGTCGGACAATCATAGACAAACCGAGGAGAAGGTGGCCAAACTTTGATTAGAGTCTTTAGCAGTCTTTGATGATTTAGATTCCCGCGCGCGCGCGTATCGCTACACGTCTTTGATCTTGGAATGCGAGAATAATCGATGATAAAAGAATTACTTATCGTAAAAATATCTATTGCCGCTCTACTTTTATTGTACATTAAAGTTTGTTAATCTCTCAATGTTACACGCGATGTGGGAAATGTTCGGAATTGATTACCAATCTAAATAAGATTTACCGAAATAAAAATAAAGACTATGTATCCGTTGGCGAATAATGTATGGACTACTTATATAAAGCACAATTATAATATATTTCACAAATTGTTTAAACATTCATACATAATTATACGAATTTTCGCATATGACGAAAAGGCGATTGAATGAAAAATTAGAGGGGTAGGAGTATATTATAAAAAGAATGTATTTCAAAGACAAAATAAAAAAAACGTTGGGATATCGAAGAACGACCGTAAATTATAGTACCAAAATTAATGGCCAATATAACGCCACAATAGCAAAAGTTTACGAATTTAACAGTTACGAGGCCTGACTCTTCGCTGACAGCTCGAGAGCCCTTTCAAATCTCTCTTGAGTCTTTGAATTTTCCATCGCGTTCACTGCACAATTTCGGAATGTTGAGGATATATTCTAATTCTTATCGAGGTGTAATAAATAAATCCTTTTTTCTAGCAAGACATATATATATATATATATGTGTTTGAATAAACATTAAGCTTGAAGGCGGACAGGTGAAAGGAAGATGCACACCTGCCGTAACCAGATAGTTGCTATCAGATAATTATTCACATCTTCAGTTTTCCCAAGTTTTTTTTTATCGCCGAGAATTCGAAACAATAGAAAGAAACTTTTGTAACTAAAAAATGATAAGTCATTGCATTGTCTGCTGCAATCACTGTTTGCATTTTCATGTAAATCGCGCTGGGCCGAAGCAAGAGCAATTTTTGAAAATGTAGTGGACCGAGCAACATTCTCTCGTCTATCGATCACATTTTTATCATATTTATATAATGTAATGTACAATATGCAGCTACATTATGATAATCGGTATGTCCAACGCATTCAAAACTGGCAACATTGTGGGTACTTTACCTTTCTCTTTTCTCGCGCACATGTGTGTATGTGTGTGTGTGTGTGTGTGCGTGTATGTGTGTGTGTGTGTATTGTTAAATTTTCTCATCAAAGAGAGGTATCATTTAAATTACTCATTAATCAATGTGTATCGTATGTTTCAAAGTTAGGTACTTTAATATAATTACTTCCAAGTTTTCCACATGTTTGTGGCATCTCTGTGTAAAAAGTGTAACTATATAATGCTAAATATAATAATAATAATAATAATTATAATAAGTTGCGCAAGGCAATAGTCCGATGTGGCCGTTCGATCGTGTGCCTGCGGCCGCTTCCCGCTCCTCTCGCCCCTTAAAAAAAAACCTACTGACACAGTCAACTCCCAGGAATAACCTCTTCTACATTTTCCACTCAAATCGCGGAGAGCTTGCGACGATTGTATCGGTTGTTTCTTTTGTTGCCCATTCGTAGTAGAGGGGGGAGGAGGCGTGCAGCTGTTTTTGTATGATGTTAATAGCAACTGAATGTTGACAGAGTAATTTCCCCAATTAGCGATTGGCATTTTTCAGCTGATTGGAAAGCCAGTCGAGACCTTCGTAAAGTCCGTCTCCACTCGTGGCACACGTTGCCTGGATGTACCAATTGCGATTACGTAGAGAATGTAACCCCAACTTGTCGGTGATCTCTGCTGCGTTCATTGCGTTTGGCAGATCCTGAAATGTTACTCATTTAATAGTGTCCTTTGCTTAAATCACTCTTATGCAAATCCGACAAAAGACTACTTACTTGTTTGTTAGCAAATATGAGAAGTACTGCATCTCTAAGTTCATCTTCCGCCAGCATTCTCATTAATTCTTCACGCGCTTCACCAATACGTTCCCTATCATTACTATCAACGACGAATATCAATCCCTACAAATTAAATATAAAGAAAGATGTGATAATGAAATAAGACATCAATTTAATGGAAAAACATTAACAATTTACAATTAATAAAAAAAAATAAACGTACTTGTGTATTCTGAAAATAATGCCGCCACAAAGGTCTTATTTTGTCTTGGCCACCTACATCCCATACAGTGAAACTTATATTTTTATACTCGACTGTTTCTACATTGAAACCTAAAAAATACATTTACGTGCGTGTAATGTTACTATCTCTCACATGTTTATAAACTATTACAGGATTTAAGGCTGCTGAATAGACACCACGGCCATATTGAATTGTGATGTCTGAAGTCGCAGAGAAATGACACGTTAATCTTTGTCACATGTCATTTGTAAATAAAGACAATTTGGATAAAACAAAATTTAGTAAGATCGCATTAAACATTTGTCGAAATGAAAGGAAACTACATTCCTTCCTCCTGACACTTGGTAAATAATTGTAAAAAGTGTAAGTGAATTTTATCACTTTCTATGATTATTTACCGACTGTAAGAAAGGGATAAGAATAGCTTTCATAGCTGTTTTTACAATTGTTTTAAAGCAATCTTATCATTTAACTTTATCCAAATTGCTTTTATTTACAAATGATACCTAATAGAAATTAACGTATCATTTCTTGCTTCTGACATTATGGTACAATATGGCTGTGGTGATAACTCGGAAGTTTTTTTGTATGAAAGCTCTAAAATATATACAAAAATGAACTATATTATTACGGTCGAATAAATTGAGAAATTGTAATTGTTTATAAGAATGAAATGTACAAAATATTACTTAATATCTGATAATACATTCTTTAAATTACAGGTGCATATGAAAGAGACATATACTTACCTATAGTGGGAATTGTAGTGACAATTTCCCCTAATTTTAATTTGTACAGAATTGTGGTTTTACCCGCTGCATCAAGACCCACCATCAAAATCCTCATTTCTTTTTTGCCAAAAAGACCTTTGAATAACGTTGCAAACATATTCCCCATGATTGGAACTTGTATGTCAGGACCTAAACATATGCACATACATATACACACACGTGTATATATACATATGTACGCATAACATATACGTATATATATATATATATCCATTACATTATACTGCAATAAAAATAATTTGTGATATATTCTTAAAAAATATATGTATCGAGTATGTCAAACTTTTAGCACACACACACACACACACACACACACACACACACACGCGCACACACACACACACACACACACACACACGCACGCACACGCATCACACACACACACACACACACACACACACACACACACACACACACGCACGCACACGCACACGCATACGCACGCACGCACGCACGCACGCTTGATTTTAATATATTGTCTAGAAACACATTGTCATTCTAAGCAATGATAGATTACAGCTCCTGCTTATCCCTAATTTCACCTCCAATTTTATATAGTTTGAAACTGTATTTACATTACATTTAACACTAAGGAACACGAAATACAATGGAAAATATAACATCCCTATAATTTTCAACTATACAACACAATATATTAAGACATGATACAAAATTTTTAAATAATAGAATTGTAGCATTCACGTAAGAAGAAATTGGATTGACACGATGAAATAAATTCAGCAACATTATGTGATTGATAAATACGTGCGTAGTATGTACAAGAAATATTTATGTATATAAATACCATCTACATTTGCAATCGGGAAACATTCGAACGTGTATCGTGTATAAAGATATCGAATTGTTCTTTTATTTCTTCTATCTTTTATGCATAAAATCGAGTACAAGAGAGTAAATTTAGAAGGGGGTAAGGTAATATCGTGAGCAACGATAGACGAAAAAACGATTCGTATGTGAATGAAAGAGAAACTCGAAATCGATCGCGGCGATATGAGAAATATGAAGACACGTTTGTCGAAACGCAGCACTCGTGATCAGCCGGAGCATCAATCTCCAGTCTGCCCGGTTGCGATCATGGCGTATCCTCGCGTATGTATGTACACGACAAGAATTAAGATTCCAAAATCTCGCAAACTAACCTGATCGCGTAAAAAAGCAATCACGAGAGGCCATACATCCATACACACACACGCACACGTACACAGAGGACAATCGACAATGAATCTCGGCACGGCGGGAATCGTACGTTCGATACTTTTCGTCAAGTAGGGAGAAAGGAAGAGAGAGAGAGAGAGAGAGAGAGAAAAGAAAAAGATGATGAAAGAGCATGCACGAGAGACTGTTCACGCTGCTCGCTATCGATTCTCATCCTCAATAAAATCGTTGATTATCGGACCAGCATACCCTCGGGGATCGCTATTGACTGCTTTGTCGACGATCTCTATGCGGTTTTCGTACTATTTAAGGGTGTTGATACTATTGAAAATAGCAGCAGAGCGTGAAACCGCGCGAGCAAAGTAGAGAATATCGTGCGGTTTGCGAAGCCACTGCGTACGCCGTACAGTACACCCGGTGGCCTGTCACCTTCGACCTACTCCCAAGAGAATCGTCAAAGGTTCCCCGCTCAAAGATCCATTACCCAGAGACTTGCTCTTACTATCGAGTTCTCTGGTGACGCCACGATGCACATATATTGCACTTACGTTACTTACGTTTCAGTAAAAAAGATTATTTTCACGAGAAACGATAAAACATAAAACCAACACTCCCGAAAAGTACCGTATGTCAAAATGGCGGACGTGGAAAGGATCTGTACCTTATGCCACGTATAGGGTCATCGAGCTGCCACGATTGGCTCGACGAGTCACGTGACGATGGAAATTAACAACACGGTACGCGACAATATCGCGAGATGGTGCCTCGTAAACCGGTAAACGTCGAGTTTAGTGCCCCTAGCCTATACAAGTGATGTCGAGTAATGTCGAGTAACGCGAGCGAGAGAGCTCGGTGCGCTCTGTGCGCTCTTTTGTTAACTCATTACTCATACGCTGCCGATCACACCCTGCATCCGATTTGCGCCGTACGACGCTCTGCAACCAATCGGAAAACAGGTCTCCAGTCCGATCATAAACCAAGCAAAATCCATCGGAATCCTGTTTTCTGATTGGTTGCAGAGCGTCGCGTACAACGCACATCGGATGCAGGCTGAATCCAGCATAATGGGCCTTCTACAATAAGCCGCAAGTCAGTACGGGGAGCACAGATACTGGATTCACAGACCCTGCATCCGATTTGCGTCGTACGACGAAAATCGGATACAATGAGAATCCAGCAACTTTCTTGCATAACGCATAACATATGAGGCATAAGAAATTGAACCAACCAGAGTTCTCTATTACATGGAAGGGAAAGAAACGGAGAACTTCGATTGGTACATATTCTTATGCGTTATGTAAGAGTCTGTGCTCCCCGCTTTAATTGATTATGATTCGTCCATTTTTTATGGCTTAAAAATCTATTGTGGATCTGGGGTAATATGGGGTAATAGCTTATTGTAGAAAGCCCATTACTGCGCGAAACGAAAGTCGAAACATGTTACGTTACGTGCGTACTGCGTAGCTGGGTAGCGAGCTGCAGAAAGTAACGACTATTATGTACATATATATGAATGCTACAAAAATTTATTGAATAACTCCAATTATATAATGGCATATTTTCAGTTAGATATATCTATCAATAATTATCAATAATCTAGCTATCAACAATAGTTTATAAATGTTAATTAAATTTAATCGCAGTACAGTGCTTTTTATATTTCCAGGTTAGTCCACCAGTCAAGTAACAAATTTCCTAGCATCGCATTTACTTCGTGACAACCTGAAATATGAATTGTGGCACAAAAGTACGTAAAATGTTGTGTTATTGTTTCGTACAGTACTTACAGATCCACCGAATAACGTTGCTGATTTTCTGCATTCACATGAAACTAAAGTAACTTGGATCTTGCATTCTGTGTGACATGTAACGGGACAATCTCTACATTTCAGTGCTATCTTTCCAAATCTGATTCTGACATCAAACAGAGGAGGGAAATGAGATATATAACTTGGTCTAAATCTTTAATTGTATCCTTATTATACAACTGTCGCTATAAAATCATCTTCATAGATATTACCTCTTACCACATGGAGTACATGTTTCCGGTTTAATAACTATCTTTGATATAAAGCTGTGATTAGCAGAAGACGACTCGACCTTGGATAATTTAGAATCAATATTTTCTTTGTTAGATGCAATTTGGGTTGTGACAGGTACAGAGCATGCACTATCTTTTGCCTTCATTTTTGCTGTTACTTCATCTGACGATTTAAATTCTACAATTTTATCTAATGTGCCACACTGTTTATTCATAAAATATTCATCGCTAGGTTTATACTCTTTCCACTTTTTTTCTCTCTGAACCTTTATGATAGTATCGGTATCCAAATCATCTTCTGACTTGGATAAACAGTTTAAGTCACTTAATATCGAACCCGTAGAATCCGTTTCCGTTATTGTAGTCAGACTAGAAATCATCGAATTTTCATGTAAATAGAATATATATTGTGCAATACTTTACGCTAGTTTTATACCCACTGTCTATCATTCCATTTGTCTTGGACGGTTAAATTATTGCTTTTAAATTCAATTTCGGATTTGTTAAGAAATTCTAGTTTCTTTCTTATATCTTCGTTCAAGTTTACTTCTCTGTCATGAAATAATACCTTTTTAGCCATGCTGATTTGGCTTTCCTTTGAAACACAAATACATATATTTGTTTTAAAATTAAATGATAAATTTTATTTTATCATTTAATAATATGTATCTTTGAAACAATTTTTTATATGTATAGAGAGCTTAGGAAATATTAATGCTAGAACAAGTTTTACCAACAAGTTTTTATGATGCTCAATCGTTCGACGTTTACGTTTTTCCTCTTCTAAATTTCTTCTAGCATGACATAATTTCTGATGAAGATTCGCAGTTTCTCGGCGTATTCGATCTAAATCTAAACAAAGTTGTTGATACTCTTCCAAAGGTAGACATTTTGTTTGTGGCATATTGGTCAAAACTGTATTAAAATAATAAAACGAGTACCATATTAATTTATCGCGAGTGTCTATACGTAAAAGAAAAATTAATTTATTACAATACATATTGTCCGGATAATTTTAATTATATTATTTTATTGTTAATTATATGCTACGGGTAATCATAAATTTAAAACATTAATTTTTTTATTTTTAAATGATTATCTGGGGCAAACCCTAATATAACAGTGACATACCATACATGAGTATTATAATTTTCTCATTCAACAAATAAGTATAATGTATAATGCTTTTATAGGTAACAGTTACAATGTTGAATAGGAAAATATAATATTGATATCATGTTACCAGATGTTAGTTGATATTTACTAAGATAACAATGATAATTAAATATGTGGAAAGCGCACAAGTGGTTTTGTATATACAAACCTCCATTTATTCACACAGGATGTTGTCATGTCCCGTAAATGTCAAAAATTGATGGTTTCTTTGTTTTCTAATTACACTCTAAACTTGCCACATAAATAGCTGCATAGCAAATGAGAACTGTTATGAAAGTAGAAGAAATTTTTATGCGAGAGTTTTATCAACCGTTATGTTTTGTATAATCAATTAGCTTTCAAATTCTTCATTTTTACCAAATGGTTAAATAGAAACTTCCTAGTTAATAAAATATATTCCTATATATGTTCCAGAGAGATTTCGAACAATAATTCAGAAGATATTTAAAATTTCGCCGAAATTTATCTGGGTCTGAAAATATCCACCTAAATTATAAATTGTTTACCCGACGATTACCTTATATTAGATGTTCAACTAACGGCTGAATAATAATTGAAGAGTAATTGAATCAAGATTTGTATGAAGATAAATAAGAAAAATAGAAAAATAGAAAAGGAGAGATGACGTCATTACAAGTGTTATTGCATTGTTTGCCCTTTAAACATAAGCTTGAAATACGTGATGAATTAATAGAAGATTTGAGAAAAGCGATAACTAACGATAAATACTTGGAACAATCTGAAATTGAGGTATTTTAATAAAATTTTCGTAAATTATCTCACTGTTATTAGACAAAATCAAATATTTTCTATTTGCATTAAAGAAAAACAAAAATTGTAGGAAAAGGTTGATGCTCTATGTAAATGGTTATGTACGACACCTAAGAAGAGCTTTTATAGACTAGATCGTTTTACAGATTATTATACGAACGACCTGGACAATTTATATAAAGCATTAAAGCAGGTACGCCAAATAAATCAATTTTTTGTAGTAATACATAATTATGATATTTAATAATTTTTATGCTAATCTTGCTACAATAAGCAATTGTGACTTATATGAGTTGTTTTTCAGTCACAAACTATATTAGAAAAAAACTTACACTTAAACATTTTTCTCATATATTCCAAGACATTATATAATCTTGACATATCTGAGATACACTGTTATTCCTTAAACCTTCGTAATTCCAAAACATAAAGAAATGTGATTTGTCTTTTGGCCTGGATATATTCTGTATAGTATATTCCTATCATTTTTAGGTACGTACTTTTTTTTTACAAGAAAATTTTACATGTGATACCTACTTATGTATTACGTTAGGATGGCAAACCGGATCCATCTATTCACTTCTTACCGGATCTTCCAAATGGAATAGTTGCAGTCGACAGTTGGGATTTTTCGGTATCTCTTGATTTAAAGATATATCCAGATGAAATTATCGTTGACGCTATATGTGGTGCGGCTGTGTTAAGAGGTTCTCATGTTTATGCTCCTGGCGTTATTGGAATGCCAAATGGTAGAGTCTGTGTACATAGAATTCTTTCTGTAATTAAAAGTATCCGTAAAAGAATCTTGTAATTAAATTTATTTAATTATAGGTTTAAGCATTAATACTAAAGTTAGTGTATTCGCTGATGTTACTGGTCAATGTAAGAAAGGTTTAATTAAACCATATGCAAATAGTAATAAGATATATTTAGGTAACGGCATTCTTCGACAAACAAGGAAAGAATTATTTTGCAAAGCAGCTACAAATCCACGGTATAGAGTTCCAAATATACGCGAGAATAGAAGCTGGCTTACTTAATCATGTTAGAATCGTTATAAAGAACCATCACATTTAAATTGTAGATGTTACACAATATTTCAATGTTAAAATTTTACACGCATGATAACATTATTCGCGTTATTAAATTTTTTCTATTTTCTACTAAATTGTTTTCCAGTGGTATTGCAATAATTATGACTGATGTAATCTCACGAGTTCCACAATTGAATGTAAATAATGAATCTTTGAGACCACATGCATTATTACAAAATTTGCCCTCTATTGTGTGTAGCCTAGTTTTAAATCCTCAACCAGGTGAAACAATCTTGGACATGTGTGCTGCACCTGGTAACAAAACCACACATATCTCCTTGCTTATGAAAGGACAGGTAAATTTTTAAAGAAAAACAGAATTTCTTTGTTACACAGCACATAACATATCATTATTCTTTCCAATTACTGTGTACACTTCATCTACTTGTTTAAATTCGCACAAGCACGAAACGATAACAATCAGAAAAAAAAGTAGATACATAGTGTATTCACTGAATTTAATTATCATCTTTGATATAATTTTCAGGGTACAATAATAGCTCTGGAGAAAAATTCAGGTAAAACGAAACGATTTAAGGAAAAGTGTAATGATAAAAATATAAAAATATTTTGTTGTGATGCTACAAAGGCTGTCATCGAACGAGAGCATAGTTTCGTCCATACAGACGGACCTCCATTCGAAGAAAATTATTTCGATCGTATTCTCTTAGATACTCCATGCAGTGCGTTAGGTCAAAGACCGCAATTATACAATACGATCACGCCGGCGCAACTTCATTCTTACGTTCCTTTACAGCGAAATCTCTTTTCTACTGTAAGTACACAAATTAAATTATTTGTCACACAAATATGTATCTGTAATCTGTTATATATGCACGTGTGTATATATATATATATATATATATATAGATTAAACTTTAAAAAAGATAAATACTATTATATAGGCCGTACGACTTTTGAAACCAAAAGGGACATTGGTGTATAGTACATGCACTATCACAATAGCAGAGAATGAAGGAATTATTGCTTGGGCATTGAAACAATTTCCGAAATTCCAATTACAATCTGTTAAAGATCGAATAAAAACAGACAAATATGGCACTCGAGGATACATTATAGATAGTTTAACGAATGAGAATGCGAAAAAAGTATGCAGATTTGGTCCTGAAAGTGATTCTGTTGGATTTTTTATTGCATGTTTGAAAAAATGTTCCTAAGATGATGAAATTGATCGAAGCTGTATTGCACAATACTTTAATAAAAAGAGAGAGAGAGAAAGAGAAAGAGTTTCTTTGTCGACTTAATAAATTTGTAATATTCTTGGTTAAAATCTAAAAATATTTATTGTGTCTTTTTTACGACAGTAAGTAAAGAAAAAGAATCTAAGAGCGAAGGGGGACTGAGAGGAAGTTTGGAAGAAGTTTAAAAAAGCGAACATGCCAAGAAAAAAAGAGAAAATGTCTATTTCGAAGACCTCTTCTCGCAAAAAGATTTTTTTGTTTGCAAAAATGGAATTTTCGCAACCTACTTTATGGCCGTATTCCGATATACTACTAGTACTGAAAATCTATAATATACGTCACGTGAAGTATAGACTTTCAGTTCTAGTAGTATTTATCGAAACATGGTCATTGTTTCTTATCATTGTGTTTATAACTTTTATCTAGGTGTGTGTGTGCGCGTATATATATATATATATATAAGTATACCTTTCTACTATTGTTCGTACATGACTCCATCTCCAATGATCTCTGTCGTTACCACGGAACAATTGTTGCAAATCGTATATAATGTTTCCACCTAATTTTAGAAAAAAGAAAGTTAGAAAAAAACAGTATTGGAACATATCTAGATACAAATGTTACACAAGTACCTGATTTGAGATCTTTTTATATTTAGATAGTACTAGGTACCATATGCAATTTCCACTAAGTATCTAAGATACTTTATCAAAAAGGTATCTACGGGTATTTTTTTGGAAGTATCTAAGTACTTAGGTATTTTAGCGGAAAAAAACTACATACCATACCTACTACCTATAAAATATAGAAACCTAAGTATAAAATATAGAAAGATCTCAATTTATAGGTACATACTTGTACTTCTATATCTAGATATGTTCTAATACTGGGGAAAAAAGAAGAAAAGACATCTAACAGAAAAGGTATAACAAATTTATTTCTTTTGCATTATAATTTACATGCATTCCATGAGCATCAGGGAAGAAGTAGAGGTACAGATATATATGCTCTTGTGGTTTAAGGGTAAAATACACAGGCCATATAGCAAAAGATGGTAAAATCAGTATATTATTGTGAGTAACATCCTAAAGTAAGATAGGAATATACTTGTATAGTTATTGTCAATTACTATACTTTTTTCTATTTTTTTATAGTATCATTATTTTTACCTCAATGTGCATCGAACACCAATCTATTTCGCTCATAATGAAGAATCTTCCCTCGCCGCCGACATTTTTAATTATCAGGGGCAAGGTAACTTGTTCACCTACCAGACACTCCCCACAGTCAAAGCTCTTCATTTTCCTATATCGCATTACACTTTTTGTAGAGGTATCTGATGCACTCTTATCTGTGTCGGTAAACTATAAGTTTTTATTAAAATAGTTTTTTAACTAGTAACTGCATAATTATTTTGAATGTCATTAAAAATTAAAAAATAGAGCTATACCTCCTTGTAAGAATCCATTTGTCTATATGGAATTTCTATAATCCATTTCGTGTCTTTTACCATTGTTTGCAGTTTATCTAATGAATATTGGAAATAGGGAATATTAATCACTATAAAAAACAATGGTATACATATATATATATGGAAGATTATAATCCTGAACTTTTCTTATGTACCGTATCAATTTTATCTTCTATATTTTATATCTATATATTTTATATATTTTTTCATACATGCAACTTATACATGTGCTGACGAGTTTATTACAATTGTAAATTCATTTACCTCTCAATAATGGTGGATCTCGATACCCACGTAATTTAATAATTACCGAACGTCCTTGTTGCACATTTATTATTAACGTTTCATCAGGTTCATCCAAGACATCGCAACGAAAGAAAATAATCAATTTTCTATGCATCCCTGGAGAAATACTCCCTGTTTGCGTTTTAGGTTCGATCATGATAGTGAATTGAGAATAATTAGGTCTTGCCATTAATTGAAATCTGGCTGAAGAATTGCTCACGTTTTGTAACATGATAATTTTCTATAATGAAGAGGAATTAAAAGAGGTAGAGAGAGGAGAAATAGAATAGTATTAAAAAATTATACTTTTTTATATACCCGGTATAATTTATTCGATTCATAATTGCGAAATTCCACAGAATTAGGGATTGCAATTAAAATTGTTTTTTGTAATTTTGGCTTTGAGTTACTTCTCTCTGGTCGTCTAACTGACGAGAAAGTTGATTCGACTTTCCTGAGAAAGAATTAACGATATGTAACATGTATATGTGTGTCTTTATTGTTTTTTTTTATCGTTTTTCTAAATAAATTTTAAATATATGCAACTCTCTGTCTTAAATGTCATCTGCATTCAACGTATGCATTCTATAATAATAATAATAATAATAAAAATAAAAACAGCAAGGCTATTTATACATTTAGATTGCATCTCGTTATTCACTGCGATCACACTGAAAATTTATAGTTCACGTTATGTATATTATAGATTATATGACATTATAGCCTCGCTATTTTTTTTATTTAATTACAGAATACGGATGACGAGGTGTTAATTCAAAAGAGAACTACATATATTTAAAATTTATTGGAAAGTGATAAAAAAATAATGGAAATTTTTGTAATATACATGACACAAAAACTTGTCATGAAGGTTATAGACATTGAGGTTTCTAATAACAGGATCATAGGATATAACGTTTCGAAGTAGACCGACTTGTAAAAAGTTATAATTTTATGTTTATTGCATATTAAAAGCGATATTAATGAAATAAACTTGAGAACTAAATACAAACTTATGCATATTTTTTTTATGACATATTTCAACGGTTTTCAAATATATGAAGCCAAAATAAAACATCGTCGGTACATGGAACGTCATTTTTCGTTTTTTTTTTAAATTTTTAAATTCTTTACAAAATAAGAAAAAAGAAAGGAACAGATTAATAGAAGGAAAAAAAGTTGAAACCACGTTCGTTTTCATTGCAGGAATCGCAAATAGATTTTGCGTGAGAATTAAAATTATTTCACATCTATACGTTATATAAATTATTTACGGAATTAAATTTTTACTCCATACATAAAGCCTGTATCACACTACGCATTGGAGACTGAGGATTACGAATTAGAATTCGACCAGTCAGATATAATTTTAATTTTAATTCACTTTGTTCTAAATTCTAATCTTTAACTCATATGCTCAATCTCCAATGAATAGTGTGACACGGACTAGCGGTTACAACTAGTTTGCAATATCTTAAGATTACCTGCAACTACTGTAGGAACGGGTTTAATAACAGAACGCAAATTGATACTCCGTTCAACAACATTGTATTTTAAGCTTTATAGGTTTCAGAAATTATAAGTGTTCATTAGAGTGCACTTATGTATTTATTCTATAGATAAGCATACACAATCCATGTGATGGTTGCATCATAGCGAAATTGATTGGATGCATTAACGTACGTTTTAGCGCACATTTAAAAGGCTGTCGTACATAATATTATAATTGATATAAAGGCATTACATATAGTGCGAATTCAATTCGCGTGAGATTATCTTTGTCAAAACAATTTATTACGTTTGATAAATTCTTTCTCGTGTCAATTTTTCATCAATCAAAATTTTTATATTATAGTTTAAAGTTGGATTAAGGTTATACTAGACTTTCAGTCTGTAGCGGATATTAGTACATCCAATTAAATTTGTTATATAAAACACATGTTGCAATCATATAATGAATACGGCATACATACCTATCAGACAACATAATTTATAGAATATTTCACATTCTTACATAATTTTACCCATTCTTGTGCAACTTTGAGATAAAATAAGGAATAAGAAATTTTTGTTTCAGCTAAATAGAATTGCGGTATTCTTTACATGCTTTATGCTTTAATTGGATGGATTCAATTTACCTTAGTATCCGACAATCATGCCGTATCATCACTTTGGACTTTGTATGCATGGAATAAGATTTCTCTTTACCAAAGCTTATTATTGATTGGAAAATATAAAACCCCATATTATACTTTACTATTCTACAAATACAATGTTTGCTTTGTCGCACATACTAAATCACTGCATTGAAAGTACTGTTTTATCTTTGTGTTTCGTATTTGTCTGTGCTATCCGATATTATTAAAGTTTAACATAAAATGGAGATGTCTGCAAATTGTTTTACAATCAGACATTCATATGTGTGTTCACATACATTGTGTGTGTGTGTGTGTGTGTGTGTGTGTGTGTATGCGCATGTATGTTTGTATGCATGTATGTATAAACATATTCCTTTTTTTGTTTAATCTAAAAATTTAACTTTTTCTTGGTGTGTGCTGATTTTTTTACAGTATACCAGCTATTTCTCCGTCTTACAACATTTAGTCTAGTCATTGAATATTAAGACGTCATTAACGTGCAATTGTACGAACGTTGAACGTTTTTACATATATACAATTCACGATCACGTTTTAAACGTACAATATGCACGTAAGTGCAACTCGATGCATTGGCTTGGTATTTTATTAGCATATGCGCAAAATGATATCCGTTTTCACTTATCAAGTTCCAAAGCAGCGTACTGATCCTCATCCACTTCGGTCATCATTAAATTTCCGTCCGGTAATAACAGCACTACCCTCCTGGTTCCTCCTAAAAGGGGGAAAAAAAAATCAGAGATTGAATGAAAGTATTAAATATTTCAATCTTTCTATACACAAGAAGTTTCAATAATTTTGTCATTACCAGTATACACAGTTTATATTTCACGTTAGGAGCAATTTGAACAAAAATTACGGAATCTACTTGAAAATGACAGAGTGCAACCAAGTGAACGTTATTATTACCTGGAGTGGGTTCTTCAGCTTGCACCACTTGAGCTATAACGGACTGTCCTTCGTTATGTCCATCGTTATCTTCTTGGGTTCCACTTACATCGGACGCATTTGTGTTATCCATTATAGACATAACCATTGAATTTTCCGTTGGTTCTGCTCCATCTTCCTTTACATAAAACTGGGGCGTGAGATTTACTTGATCGGGGATCAACTGCGCTACAGCCTCAGCTACTGCATGATCCAACGTCAAAACTGATCCGTCATCTCCTTGTTGCTCGGTGGTGACATATACACATTGTTGCTCACCATCGGCGCCATGCGTCACAAGAAGAGTCTGTCCATCCTCAGCTTGGCTCGCGACTTGATAGACGACGCCATGTTCGGCTATAGTAACTAGATTGGATGCATCGTTCGTCGTTATTTTTTTCTCCTCCGATATTTTTTCCCCAGTTTTGACATCCGCCGTTGTCACGGACATAGTAACGGTAGATGTCGCCGGAACTGTCGACAATACCGTAGTAATGGATGTTTCAGCGGAACTAGAAATGACGGTTTCTGTCGAAGATGTTGCTGTGGATACAGGTTGTGGAGCGGCGGTCACTACTACTGTAGAAGCGGTATCGTCCAAGCAAGGTAAATCTGGCGCAGATATCGTTACATTCGATAGATTAATCTGTGCTGTTTCACTGTCTTGGACAATGGTGCCGGTCGTTCCACCTGGACTCATCTCTACTCTCATAATACCACCGCTTTCGGTGAGCGAGTCAAGAGAAGGTAAGACCAATTCGGCGGTGGCATTGGTAGAGGCAGCTGCAGTAACGGTAGTCGTGGTTGTAGTGGATGTAGGAGTGATAGTACTGGTATTGGCGACGACAGTCGTAGCCGTGGCTAGATCTGCTGACGTAGCTTCGGACGTGTTAGCGACAGTTTTTGTTATAGTCGAATTTGTTGTTGCCTCACCGGTTTCAGGTTCATCCGATTGCTCAATCGGTTCACCATCTGGACCAATTATGCGTCCTGTGAGAGGGCATAATGTAAATGGACGCGGTGGACTGTCAGGTTCTGGAGCCGTAATGGCATCTGGCTCGGGAGCAGGGGGAAGATCTGATTCATCTTCGCTGCTACTCTCTTCCGAACCAACTTCGTGGAATTCCATGTGAAGTCCATCACCTTCTGCTAATTTGCTTTCCTTCGGAGGCTTAGTTCCTGCCTGACCTATCGCTGAAGGCGTTTCAGTACCCACTTTCGCTCTGCCTCGTCCTGCAACGGTACGAGGACCTGCCAAAAGTCCACGACCACCCGGTTTTATGCCTGCTGCTTCTTGGGCCTTCCTCTTTACCATTAATAACTTTTGTTGCGGAGATAACAATGATGATTGTGCCTTACCTACTGGTGTCTTCGAAGACTGTTTTGTTTGTTGTTGTGATGACGGTGTTGGTGGTTGTTGTTGCTGTTGTACTGGACTGGTACCAGTTTTGATTACCTGTTTGGACTGCGGAGATGTTGTGAGTACAGTGAATTTTGGCCTAATTTGTGTAACCGTACCGGTCACTGTGACAACCGGTGAAACGGTCTGTTGAGTACTTACAACCGTCGTACGCTTTTGCAACACCGGACGCGTCACTTGCGCCTGAATCTGTCTCGGTGCAGGTGCTCTGACGGGCGTACGAATTGTACCAAGAACGCTTGTTGTCGCTGTCGGACGTAACGACGGTCTAGGTAGCAAAGGACGACCATCTACCGTTCGCTGAGGCGTGACAGGGGCAGATCTTACACTTGTAGGTACTCTCGGTTGCAAAGTTATCGGTGTCGGCACTGCAGCCACAACATGTATCTGTTGCAATTGCGACGGATCCGGTTTCGGCTGTATCTTTATAGGCTCGCTCTTCTGCACGTTGCCCATTTTCGGTGTAACGGCCTTGGTGACCACCTTCATCTGCGTTACCACTTGGCTTCCGTCCATTTTCGAAACGACTTTCACAGGAGTCATCGAATTGGACTGCGACGTCGAGATTACTTGTTTTTTGATTACGTTTGCATTATCTCGATTTTGAACCATTACAACACCTTGCGTCGTCGAAGATCCTTTAACCGCTAGTTTCCCACTGGGGGACGAATTCAATTTGATGATACCGTCTTTTCGCGACATAACGTAGAGACCGGAAGCCAAATTCGGCATTTGTTTGGGATCGACTTTAACAACCCCCTTGGCGCTAGCCACTAAAACAGGCGGTTGGCTAGATTTTGCTCCATCCGGAGATTGCAATCCTAATGACGTTGCCAGATCAGTGGATGAAACCGAGGTTCTGTTGGATCCATTCGACTGCGCATTAGCGCGATTGAATGCACGTTGTATCACGTCGCTACGGCCTAATAGTCTTTCGTCTTCAGATTCCCCAGTCCATTCGTCATCACTGCCCGTGTCACCTTTCGTTCTCTTTGCGGCACTGCTTCCTCCTTCTTCCGAATCGCTCTCCGAATCATCGATCCTCCTTTTACCTAACACTACAAATTTACACGTACAAATATTAATTCAAATGGCGTATATTTAATGTCATTTAATATGTTACTTAATTAACACGTTCAATATTAAATATGTCGATTACAAAATTAAATATCTGTCAAGTGCACAAGTACATGTACAAGTTCAAATACATACGTTCATTCTCTTCATCTTTCATCGAGCCACACCATTGCTTGACTTGATCCATCGCTTTTGATTTACTAGACCGCATCGGGCGTCTACGTATATGCAACAATTAGCAAATTCGCATTGAATATCAGTGATTTACAGAAATATAAAAATGTTTCGTAATTGCACATTTTAATTAAAAACTAGTCAAATTGCTCACCCTGCTTGAGCCGCAGTACTTGGTCCAGGCTGACTGGTCTCAGCTTTTATCACTGATTTTTGCAACGGCAAACTCACACGTCCGACGACTTTTGTATTAGCCTGCTGTTGCGCTGCTTTAGACTCCTT